GGCCCTGCCCTTCCGCGCCGCCTGCGCCGCCGCCTCGCTGCTCGTCCTGCACCTCTTCGACGCCTTCAAGCCACCGGCCCACGCGCAGCTGCTCTTCTACCTGCTCTCCTTCTGCAAGAGCGCCGCCGTGCCGCTGGCCACCGTGAGCCTCGTGCCCTGCTGCCTCTCGCGCCTCCTGGCCGCCGGCGCCAAGAAGGACGTCTAGGGCGGGCGGCCCCGCGGCGGGACGCGGCCGCCGGGCGCCGCTTCCCGCCCCCGAACCTGCACGGACCGAAGCCGCCGCCGCTCCCCAGCGTGGGGTCGGCAGCGATGGGAGAGGGTGCCCCGTCCTGCAGCCGCCCCCGTGGTGCCCCACGCTGCAGCACGGGCTTTGCACATGCACGGTTTGTATTTATATATAGGCATATGTGTTTATATGCATGTATATATAAAACTGTGGGTGTGCGCGTATCTATATACGTATATAGATATGGGTGTATCTGTACTCACGGCTATTTTATTAAAGCCGATGGTGTATATAGTGCATGCGCCGGGCCGTGGGCTGACGTCCTGCAGTGATGTTCGGAGAGGAGGAGGCTGCGCCAGGGCCACGCGTTGTGCCCTGGCACTGCCAGCCTCGCTGGCTGCTCCCTGCCCGTTGCCCTCCCGGCAGCGCAGGAATCGCAGCACGGCGAAGCGGAAAACCCGGGAGCCTCCCTGGAAGCGCTCGGGGCTTCTCCTGGCCCAAGTGTGGCTGCACGGCGCGGGGCTGAGCAGCAGCCCCATGGGGCCGAGCCCGTCAGCGGCTGCCCCACAGCCCTGACCCTTCGCCCAGTCCCACTGTGCCCCAACAGCTCAATAACTGGCAGAAAAATAACTGGCTTTGCTCTTTGCTGAACCACAGCTGCAAGAAGACACGAGAGGATACGGTCTGGGCAGCGTTCTTGCTCTCCTGTCCATTTAAGATAGGGGTTTCCTCCTCCTTTAATTTTCTGGTTGTTACCAAAACTTGGACTAAAGCTGTTGTGCCAGTTCTAGCAAAGTAAGGGGGCGGGAAAAACAATTTCCAGACTGCCTGCCCTCTGCTTCACACTGTGCCTCCATCTCCTCCCTTTGGTTTCTGCAGCCAAGACTGTAGCAGCTTCCAGGAACCACCCTGGCAGAAAAGGCAAATTGAAGAAATGCTGCAGAGTGGTTGTTTATTAATCCCAAGGGCTTCTTTCCTGGAGCCACTTCTTGTGCAGAACAGTAATTACTGCCCAGCCAGCACTGCAGAGCAGAGAACGGCAGGACAAGCTGAAGCTCACGGCAGCAGAAGTGAGGGAAGTGCTAGGCACAAACCTCCAAGAAGTGCCCTGGGTTCAGCTGCCCATGAAACAAAGGGCAGGGAGGCTGCTTCTCTCTGCATTTAGTTGTCACGCGTGGAGCTGGCACGTAGGTGTTAACGTGGTTCTGCCAGGGCCACGCAAATGACTGAGATGTGCAGCAACGTGCCGCAGGAGAGCTTTAAGAGGCAAGTGTGCACGCAGTGTTATCTGGCAAGTGCTTGCATCAGCTTCTCAGCTGGATCAATAGCTGCATGCCCGAGGGAACTGCGGAGTCCAGAGGGCAGCAGGCTGCATATTAACCAGCAGCGAGGGCAGCTAGCGAAAACATTAGCACCTACGTGCTCCGTCCTCTGGCATTTGCAGAGATTTCTAAGTAAACAGGAAAAAAAGCCGGTTCAAAAAAACCTGCTTGTTTGCTCTGTGCCAGAACTGGGGTTATTCCCTTCCTTGCTGATGGATTTGAGTGCAGCATCTCGCTGTCCTCCTTCCGTTTCATCTCCGAGGAAGACGGTGGGCAGCCACGGCTGCTAGAAGCTGTTCGGTCTTTTAAGCTTCATGGCCAGAATTCAGCAGCCCTCCAACTCCTGCTGTTCATTCTTTCTTCTCCCTACAAAATTGCAGCAGCAAAAGCTTGACTTATTCTCTCCACAGCTGTTGGTGAATATCCTATTCAAATCCCTGCCTCTTCCTTGTATTTTTTTTTACATGCAGCCAGCTTATTATAAATATGTATATAGTAATTACTCCCTGTATATAGTGATTATTCCTAAGCAGCTGGTATAAAGAAAAAGCCACAGTGCACTGCAAACAGAAGGGACCCTCTCCTGGTTTGCAGGAAGCCTACAAAATGATTAAATAGTGTCTCCTTTTAATCACTTAAGAATATTACTGCATGTCAGAGTAAATGAAAGAAACCTTGCAGCATCACAGGACAGAGAAAACAGTGCATAGCAAATCCCCCCCATCCCAGTTTGCCACAACCACCCAATCTGCTCGCAGAGCATATGCACAACAGTCATATTCTTAATGTCTTTATTCTCTGTGAGGAAAGGCGGTAGAGTTTACACGGAGCAGGGAAGACAGCCCTGCTTTGGGAGGGGTTTCTTACGCTTCAGGGCGCTGATGGCTGATGAAGTCCTGGAGCAAGGTCTGCACCTCTCCTCGCCGACTCATCTTGGTCGCCTTGCCCTGAAAGCGGCCTCGCTTCCCAGCGCCTTTGCCTTCCAGCAGCTCTGCCACCCTGCAGGACAAGAGCGAGTGCTCGATGTCCCCGAGGCAGTGGGGAGAGCGTGGCCTTCCCTAGCCAGCTCCAGAGAGCAAACAGGGATCCGTGCCCTAATTACACTGCTCAACTGCTTGTTCGTTACCTTAGAATTCTTAGTAATTTAAAGAAGCCACAGAGTTTGTTACCTGGGACCTAACTTCTCGACTGCTTCAACAGGCCCAGCCAGAAGAAAGAGTCCTGCTTCTTTTTCATCTCCTACAGTCAGGAACAGCAGCGTTTCCTGCGGATAGAGACAGGCACCTGGCTCCTGCACAGGCAGCGTCCCCCTCGAGACGCTGAGAAATCCTGTCCAGACACATACACAATTTGCAGGCTGCTGCTCACTACTGAGAGCAAGACTCGGTTGGAAGAAGCTAAAAGGGAGTAGAGCTGTTTTATTTGCACCTGAATCACATGTGTTGGGGGACAGAAGAGGGCCTGGGGTATCCTACATTAAAACAGCTGGTGTGGTTCCATACGGCTTCGAGGGACAGGCTTTTCTACAGTGCTCTGAATTTTCACTGCAGTATTTGTGGACTGCTGAAGGTTTCCTGCCTGCTGAGGCTGCTGGGGGTGATAACCTCGTGTAACTTCTGAAGGGTTCTGAAGGGCTCATGGCTGTTGTACAAACAGAAGCCTGGGCAGCCCCTGCCTGTGCTACGAGGTGGATGAGGAAGCTCCTGGTACCAGTTCAGTCTTTCTAAGCAACTCACCTCTGTCCCAATCTCATTAGCGATGATGTTCATAAATTCAGAGTCACCCTCTTTTCTGCATGGATAAAAAGCCACTTCAGAGAGAGGCAAAAATCCCATGTAGAGCCCCAAACATCAACTGCACACCATGGACAACGACTACCCAAACTTGTTTTTTGTTAGTTTTCTGTTTCATGTGTTTTCTTTTAAGAGTAAAACTTCTTATTAATTTCTTCTGCCATCAGAAAATTTGCAAACTAAAAATCTGTGCAAGCAGCTTGGTTCATGCTGAGGGTTTTGGCCTCTTTTTGTTAAGAGGGAGATTATTTTTGTATTTATACCTTTAATCCTCACTGCACATTCCTATGGACATACTTGGAAATTAAGTCATTATTTTTAACAAATTAAACTCTCCAGTTTTACTGGAAAATATAAAGATCAGAGAGAGAGATCAGAGAGCACAATTACTTCTTAGCTATAAAACCAAAGGAATTCAATGACTGAATTACTGACATATTCTTTTAATTACACAACCTTCTTACACTGCAGGTGGTTTTAATAATCTATTTATCCTGTTGATACTCCTTCCTGAAGAATATTTGACTTCTAGGCAATAATTGTCATAAAGAAGCCTGAATAGGCATCAGAGAGACGCAACTGTCATAAAGCATGAAAGATACCGTGTCTCTTACACTGATCTCCCACGTACCTGTGCAGCACAAACAGCTCACTTTGACCAGGTTTGCTTTTGAAGTCCCGGGCTATCAAAACAGCAAGGTCTCTAAGCAGGTTCAAGTTATTCTGGAAGAAAATAACCAGTTCTGTGGGTGGAGAAGTGAGGGTGAGGACTAAGCCGTGTTCCCAGGGATGGGAGCAGTGTTCAGAGGACCAAAAGAATTATGTCTAGAACTCTGATCTCAGTTGTCACGACTGATGCTCAGGCCAAGAGGACACGACCATGGTCTGCTTTTCTCAGCTATCCTCATACCTTTTGAAGCAGCTTCACCGAACTCTGCAGCCTCTTCACAGCGTCCACGTGCTCACCCGGTCCATTTCTGCAACAACAGGGACACAGAAAGCATGTATTAAAGGAGCAAAAGAAAATAAAGTATCATTAGAAACAGTGGGCAGATGTAACCTTAAGTTCATGTGATGTTTGTCAGAAGAAACAAGAAAGATGAAAGAAAGGAAGTAGAAAGAATATTACTTGAGCAGTGAAGTCAGAGCCTTCTCAGTGCTATGACTTTGTTCGATTGACTTCAGCACTCTATTTCCTGCCAGGAAAACCAAGTTCACTTTGTTCTTTTTTCCCTTTTCTGTGCCAAGGAGTTTAATAACCTTAAAAAAGAAAAACACCTTGGTCAGAAAAGGACATTGGTATTTTGCTGATACTCAGAGAGGTGGTCAGTTCCTACCAGACTCAGCCTTGCAGTGAATAGCCTCTGCCAATGACACTGAGCTCACTAAAACCTGCTGCCAGGTGCAACTCCTACCTGCAGGTCGCTCAGGTTAGAGACGTGGGTCCCGCAGCACATGTTGTCGTCGATGCCTTCGATGCTCACAACGCGCACGGGCCCCGCGTGGTCGTCGGGCAGACCTCGGCTCCTCACCTGGCGGGACGAGCGCCGCGGCCGGCACGGTGAACCCGGCGCTCCGGGTGTTTCGCTCCCACGTCGCTTCCCTGCCCCGTTACCCACCGTTTCCACTTCAGGGTCATCTGCGGCCAGCTCCCTCACCGTCACGGGAATCCTCTCCCGGATTTTCTCGTTCACGCTCCTCTCCAGGGCCTCTACTTGCTCTGCTGTCACGGTGGGGGTGTCCAGCTCAATGACACTCCGCTGGCGGCCCAGCTCCCTGCACGGATGAAGAACATCTGCTGGGGAAGACCGCTCTGCTCAGGCTTTGTGCCAGGCAAGACGGACTGTTGGGAATGAGGTGACAAAACCTAAACACACTTCCCTCCTCTTCCTGCTGTTTACACAGCCCGAGAGGTCTACTAAATATCTGGAGAGGGAACAGACAGGGCAGATACTGCACAGAGCTTCTCTGCGGGGCAGTCACCTCTCCCGGGCCCTCTGTGGCCAAGCAGATGCCGAACACTAAACCGCTCTATGGACTTATCGGTGCTCAGCATCTTGTGGCATGTGACAAACAGGCTGAAAACGGCTCTGAACGGAGCAAACGGCTCTGAACGGAGCAAACGGCTCTGAACGGAGCAAACGGCTCTGAACGGAGCCTCTTCCCGCTCACCATGAAGTTGTCTTGAATCCAAACATCTGATCCGCGATGGCCGTGATGAGGTGCTGCCCTGGGGGAGAAGCACAAGCCACAGCCTTGACCCGTACTGGGCGCAAGGCGACCCCCAGCCAAGCAGCACGGTCGGCGCTGGCGCCTCCCGGGCATCCGATGGCACGGAGGAGCCCTGGCACGGCCGGGGCACGGCGCCGAGGGCACCGGGAGCCGCAGGCGCGCGCGCCGGCTACCTGAGTGCTGCTGCATGTGGTCGAAGCGGCGCTCCCAGTCGAGGGAGAGCAGCACGCGGGCGCCGGGCGGCGGCGCGGCGCGC